ACACACACACTCTCCCCACCCCACCCCCGCCCTCTCTAGCCAGTGGACCATGATAGGGATGGCTACAAGATGGAAAGCTTTCTGACAGCAACCTCTATTCCAGGTATACACCGCAGACGAAACTGACACTGATCCATTCCTCCCACCCCTTACATCAGCAAAAGCAGACTGTGGAGCCTAGCAAGCTTTAAGGAGGTAGCTTACCTCTCAGAGTGGTGTCAAGATCTGGTCTAGCATTTCCACTGGGTGCCCCCGCCACCAGTGTCAGTACAACCAAAGTGAGGCTGGACTCTCATCCCACTGGGAGAGTCGAGTCAGAGGAGGTCAGGTTAAGAGGAAGGACTTGTACAACTGTACTGCCCAGCAGTACGGAGACCAGACAACCCTAGACCAACCTACACCCCACGGTGTAAGTGGGGGGCCACATACGGAGCAATAATGTGCCCTCTCTCAGACAGAGAGAGCTCATTGGAGGCCCAGTGGGGAACTTGGGAGTCCTATGCTGACCCAACAGAAACAGGAGCCCCTATCTTAGTGGTTCTCAACCTTCCCAAAGCCGCGACCCTTTCATACAGTTCCTCATGTTGTGATGACCCCCAATCAAAAAATTATTTTTGTTGTTACTTCATAACTGTCATTTTGCTACTGTTATGAATTGGGCGACTCCTATGAAAGGGTCGTTCGACCCCCAAAGGGGTCACGACCCACAGGTTGAGAATTGCTGCCCTACCTGAAGTGTTAGTGAGGGGAAGACTTTTACCTCCACCAGGCAATAATGAGGCAGCAATCCCTGTTCCTGGGCTTGAGTGGTGTTAGGAGAATTGAGCTAAAAGAGGTTTAAATAAGATCCAGAATATCATAACAATACATAGAAGGTAACTAAAGAAAATCATTCATCATACAGAAGTTCTCAAAGGCAATGAAAACAGGCAATCAACACTGAGATGGCAGACATTTCATTTATCTGAAAAAGATTTAAAAACAGTCATCATAAAAAATGCTTCAATGAGCAAATTGAAACACATTTGAAATAAATGAGGGGGACTAAGTGACAATTTAAGAACAAACATATACCTGGAATAAAGTCAATGGACAGACTCAACAACAGAATGGAGGTGACAGAAGAATGAATCAGGCAACTGGGAGAGAGGAGAATTATCCAATCTGAATATAACAAAGAAACGAACATATCTGTAACACAGTACTGAACATTCTTGACACTGGAATCTCAAAAGGCCAGGGAAAAGAAGGTCAAGCTGGGGAAATAACAGCAGAAAATGCCTCACATTTGTCATAAACACCTAGAAATAAAGGCAAAGAAAATAACTTGAAAAAAGAGCAAAGCATCTCACCTTAAGGAAAAACAAGTAGGATGACAGATTTCTCATGTACAACAATGGCGGTCAGGAGGAACTGTCAGAACATTTTCAAGTGATAGAACTGCCCACCCTGAGTTGTTTAGCAGAAATATCATTTAAGAATAAAGGATAAATCAAGGCATTTTCAAATGAAGGAATACCAAGAGAATCTTTCACCAGCAGACCTAGCCTAAAGGAACTGTTACAGAAAATCTAAGCAGAAAGGAAACAAAGGAATCTTGGGATATGGAAATGAAATACTGCAATCAAATGTATATGAAAAAACCACACTTTTCTCAAATTTTTAAATTTTGTTTTGTAACAGAATCGTTTAGCTTAACTATGTTCTCAAAAATAACAAAATTTTAAACTAAAAAAATTTGTTTTATAGTTAAAGCAAAAATTATAAAACCATCTTATGGCTCTAAATGTATGTAGAAGGAACAGTTAAGACAACTGTATCCAAATGGGGAGTGCACTGGACGTAAAGTGAGATAAGGTTCATGCCATGTTCATTGGGAATCCAAGTTTATGTATATCAAGTAATACTTCGAGAGCAACCACTAAAAATGACACGTAAAAAGATAAATTCCAAATCAGTAGGGATAAATAGAAATGAAATTCTAAAAAATATTCAAGGAACCCACAGGCAAGGAAAAAGAAAACAATAATCCCAAAAGGCTTAAATTCTTAATGGATCAATAATTACAACAAATGCAAATGGTAGTCATATGCCAATTAAAAGACAGACTGCAAAGTAGATGAAACACAAACACCATTAGCCCAAAGATTTAACCAACATTTACAGAACATTACACCCAATGGCAAAGAATACACATTTTTATCATAAAACCAAGTAACACACACCAAGATAGACAGATGATACTTGGGCAGAACATTGACCTTAACTGAAACCATGTAGTGTTTTCAAACATATTGGAATCAAATGAGAAATCAGACAATAAGATTAACAGGAAGAATGTCCTGCTAAGACAAAACTATTAAACAACATCAATATAAAGTATACATCAAAAAAAAGTTTTAAAGGGGAAATATACTGAACCGAATAAAATTGAAAAACCTATAAAAATTTGTGTGAAGTGGTGCCAATAGAAAAATTTACAGCACTAAAACCATACATTATAAAGCATAACTTGAGGGTGGGAAAATAGATCTATATGCAGTTTGTAAAACTTATTTTAAATATACTAATGTATCTTACCTTACCTTGCCAGTGAGTCAGGTCCAACCTATAGAGACCCTATCGGAGGATTTCCAAGACTGGAAATCTCTATGGGAGCAGTGCAGCAGACAGGAAGTGTGAGGTCTCTTTTAATAAAACAATAAATGTGTTCCTTATTCTTTTTCATGGAAAAATAAGACATCCCCTGAAAATAAGACCTAGCACATCCTTGGGAGCAAAAATTAATATGGCACTTTTATTTTCAGGGAAACAGGGTAGTTACAGTAAAGCTAACCTGTTGAGTGGTTTTAAGATGCTTCAGTGGACATTTGTGGTTTAAGGTTTAAAGACTGTCTTAGGGCTGTTGTTTCAGGATTTCATCCAACTTCCACGGCTCCAGAAAGTCCAAAGCCCATGAGAATTTGATATTCTGTTTTGCATTTCTCCTTACCGATCAGAATTCTTTTATGGAACCTTTGATCAGACTGTTGAGAAATATCTGATAAGCACTATCTAGTTCTTGTGGTCTCATGGCAAATGAGGCAACTAATTATTCACAAAGGCAACTAACCACATAGTCCAAATCCTCCACCTATTCCTGACTCGTTCCTGTTATTCCAGGTGAATAGACTAACTGCTGCGCATGAAGCTTTTAAAAAGACCTCAGGCGCTACACAGCTAGCGAGGAGACAGACTAGATGCACTAAACATGCGAGAGGCCACTTAAGTGTGGTCACATGCAAGCGTAACCTTCAACCTCCAAAGGAAGGAATCGTTTGGTTGTACAGTCTCAGCAGCTACTTTTTCTCACTGTACGTATGTCTATCACACAACTTTTGCCAATTCAGCTTTTTCTAGTACAACATATTGACAGCAATTACAATAATCATCTATGTAAGTGCATCCTACCCTCCCACCCCATAACCATTAATAAACTTTGGTTTCTATATATTTGCCTTTTCTTGTCTTTTTATATACTGTACATGAGGTCATACAATATTTGTCCTTTTGTGACTGTCTAATTGATCAGCATACTGTCTTCAAGCTCCATGGATACTGAGCATGCATAGAACTTCATTTCTCCTACTGAGTAGCATCCCATTGTATATATACACTACAGTTTGTTTAAAATTCATCTGTTGATGGGTCTTTATGTTCTAGATTCCACCTGCTTCTTATTGTGAATAGTGTGCTACAATGAACATTGGTGTTCAAGTTTCTTTCTGAGTCTGTTTTCAAGTCTGCCCACGTTTTCAAAGCTCTTCTCTATAGTTACCAACATCCTGACCACGTGGTCTGTCAATTTGTTGTGGTGGCTTGTGTGTTGCTATGATGCCAAAGGCTATCTGACTGGTATTTCAAATACTGGCAGGGACACCAAAATGAGCAGATGTCAGCTGTTTCTGGACTAAGAACAGACCACAAAGGTGGAGCCACTGAAACCCAATAGATAGAATCGAAATATTGTCAGATACTGAAAACTTCATGATAAATTGTTAAGAAATTGTCCTTAGCAAATACTGGTGCTGAGTGAGTAAGCTATGCAAACTTTACCTGCAAGTTTGAGATAGTCTAAGTTCTTCTCTTCAGTAATCTAAATCCTTTGGTAGTCTGCAGTTATTTACTTATAAAGTATGCTGAGTAACAAAAGTTCAACAGACACACCAAACACCTGATGATGAGAATTGGTATCAGCAATGAGGCGGCTCTTGATTTGATCTTTGTTTCCAGATATAGCAGCACATGTTTGTTATGGTGGAAACAAATATCCAGCCATGTGCCAATGCTGGTAATACTCCTAAAACCTAGAAAGGGAGGGAACAGGGAAGTTCTAAAATTGCCAGCTGTTTTGGAAAAGATTACAGCAATACTGAGTTATTTTTGTGGCAAATAAAATATACCCCAGAACCTGGTGATGTGAAAGGGATAATCTCAGCAGTCACTAAGCTCATACCTTTTCTGATGCATGAGTTTCCTTTCTGTTTGGGGATAACAGTTGCTCAACCTTTTCTTGAGTGACTCCAAGTCTGAGTTCTTACCTGTAAAATAAGGTGGGGGGGTGGGGGACTGTTAGAGATGACTGCTGAGACCTGTAAACTTTTAAGTTTATTTGTAATCCAGATTTCTATGTGTTAAATCTTTTAAGCTGCTTCCTTTTCAATGAGTAAAATTAGTTTCAACCTTTTAGAAAATTACAATGATTAGCAATAAAAATTTTAAAATATCATTCTATCTTGGTTTTTGGATTTCCAAATCACATTTTTTCCACTCTCCAACAAGACCTATAAAATGTTTCTTAAAAGCTATTATAATTAATATCTAGCAAAAAATGTTATTCTCTAAATAGTGCAGTACAGGTTTTAAATCTTTTTGTTATGTTTTCTAGCCATCACCAAATATCAATTTGTTTTTGCTACCTACAATTACATGAATACGATGGGAAAATCTCCATTTCTCTTTTTAGAATCATAAGGTTTATACCAGGTTTGATGTCAAACCTCGAATTCAGCTCAAATTGGACACACTAATTCTTCTGGTATCTCTATGTGGGCATACTTTGAAATTACCGGTTTGGTTCCAGGTCACCACAATAAAATTAATATTGCAATAAAGTGAGTCACGTGCATTTTTGGGTTCCCAGCACACAGAAAAGCTCTGTTTACACTATATTGTAGTTTATAAAGGTGCTCTGGTGCGGTAGTGAATTACACACACAGTGAGATTCACCAGCTGCTTCATGGAAGACGGGTCTGTCTCCTCTCGTAAAGCCTGGAAGTCTTGGAAGCCCAAAGGCTGACTGTCCTTGAAGGGTCTGTGAGTGGAAGGAATCACCTTGATGGCAATGAGTTTGGTGGGTTTTTTTTTATGGGGGTGGGGGTGTCAATAAAGTATGCAAAAGCATTATGAAAAAGCTGGAATATTATGAGAATTACCAAAATATAACACAGACCCATGAACTGAGTATATGCTGTTAGAAAAATGGAGCCCACAGACGTGCGCTGCTCAAAGCTGAGTTGCTGCAAATCTTTAATTTGTAAGAAATGTACTACCTGAGAAGTTTAGTAAAATAAGATAGGACTGTAATTGCTCTGGTCCTTGATGGATTAGTACACCAGTACAGTACAGCAATTACAGTCCTAATTGCTCTGGTTCTTGATGGATTAGTACTGGTGATGAGTATCTTGTGATTCAGACAAGGGTCATGAATGGATGATAAAAGACACAGAGTGATAGGTTACTGGGGAAAAGGATATTCAAGGTCTCACAGCAGCTTCACAGGTACTTATTACAAAAGAAAAACTGTATCTTTACAATGGACACACCTGGAAGTTGCCACCTTTACCACAGATTAAACCTAGTATTGTATAAAACAATGCTGGATTCTGACATTCTGTGTTTCTTGGTGGATACAATAACAGCATGATACTAGCTGTCAGAGTAAACCAGCCTCTGACAACCACAGGGTTGGTCCGTAGGCACAATTGTATGGTTATAATATATAAAGATCATAGTAAAGTCATAGAACATAGGAGAGCTAGGAAATAGTAAAATAAAGGGGCCAGACACATTTTATGGTAGCATGCTCACATCAGAGACCGCCATGATCTCAGCAGCCAGGTCCGTGCAGAGAGAGAAAATATATTCCTAATCATGGCTTATACACTTAGGGGCGTGCAAGTCCCCTGATTACAGGTAACCACATACTAACAGGAAGGGGCTGTCCAATAGGCATTTGCGCCACAGGAAGGGATGAGCTAGGGGTGTACATGCAATAGGAAGGGGAGGGACTAGGGGCATACATGCAACAAGATGTGAGGATCCTACATTCCAGATGGCAGCCTAACTTTGGTCATCCTTTAGTTGGCTTGACCTTGTCTCTGGGCCCTCCTTCAGGAAAACAATCCACTATCCTTATCAGCAGGAGTGGCCCCACCTACAGTGGGACACATAATAGTGTCTGATGCTCTAGATGGCTGATGCCCTCAGGGAGATAACCTCTAAGCAGTGTCCTGGGCTGGGCATACAAAATGGGGAACAACCTGGGGAAAACCTTTCTGTATCCCACAACTAGCTATGTGGTATTTTTGCCTGATTCTGAGCATGAAGAAATAATAAGGAGAATCCACATTATGGAACAAGGTACAAGATTGGCTTGGAATTTATAGTAAATCATAAAGCTGAGGGCTGTTCTAGATTTGAGACTAAAGTATCATGACAATTAAAAGCCCCTGGAATCACACGCACAAAAGCATAAAATTATAAAGACATTTTTCGGATAATAAGGAAATTAGAACATGTTAATAGTTTCTGGTTTGGTAATCTTACTGTGGCTTGGTAACAATGTCCTTAAAAAGATACATGATGAAGAAATTAGGGTTAAGGGTCATGATGTCTACAGTGTACTTGCAAATAGTTCAGCAAAAGTGCATATAGAAAGCAAAAGTAAATGAAAAAAAAAACAAACACCAAAAAAATACCCAAAAAAGATAAAATATTGTAAGCCACATTTTTGCTTTGGTCCCACAACTCTCAATGTCTTTTAGTCCTAAATTCATCTGAGCTTATTTGCTGGTTTGACATAATAAGCCCCTATCACATCCCTTCACTTTATATCCAGCATGTCTAGGTTGTCTGATTTGCTAGCAAATTTAACTCATTAGTCAAACCAAACACACAGCCATGGAGTTGATGCTGAATCATAGACCCTGCAGGACCCAGTAGACAGAACTGCCATAGGGTTTCAAGGGCTGTGAAATCTTTATGGAAGCAGATTGCCACATCTTCCTCCCGTAGAGCAGCTGGTGGGTGAGAAGGTGGGTGAGCAGCCAAGCATTTAACTAATGAGCCACTGAGGTTCCTTTCTGAGGGGAAACCAAACAGGGTTGCATTCCATTTCAGATCAAAAGGCTAGCTTCGAGGGCATAAAAGGTCAATTTGGGAGCAGTGCATCCTTCAAAGACCCGGAGGATGAACCTAGGACTCTGGTTGGGACACTGTACACACACGTTATTAAAGGTGTGGTATGAAGTGGCCATTGTGAGACAGGAAAGTTGGCACACAAGACCCAAATCATTTACTAGCTGGTTAAGATCTGTTTTCTGGGTCTGGAGACTACAAAGATCACTTTTTCTTTTTACCCCTAGCTTAAGGGAGTCTGGTCAGTCAGCTGCGAAGTCTCTTGGAACTCTAACATTATAATCCCATCTCGTAATTCACTCATATACACGAAATGGCTTGTGAATAAACACACCGCCAAGGAATCCAATATTAAAATGCAACCGAATATTGATCAAGGGGCAAAGCTAAGCGTTAAAAGTCCTTTTAACTTTGAGATTTCTGCCATACGAGAAGATAGCTGAGATGAAATACATAAAGGTGGTTATTTAACCTTTAAATTAAACCAGTTTTTGCTTCAATATTTTTAAAACCTCCAATAAAATGTAAAGGGAAAAAGGTCCAAATAGCAAATTCTCGAAAATGTACAGACCTGGAAGAGAGCTGTTGGCCCGGTATTCTGTCTAGAGAGGATCCCCGTCCTCCACCCACCTACTTGGGAAGGGTCTCCTGTCAGAGCAAGGTCATGGGTGAGAACCTTACAGCTCAACTGTGTGTGTCCTAAACAAGATCCCTACTCTCCAAGCCCGGCGGGGCGTGCGGGTGACTCAGAGCCTCAAGTTCTACCATCGCCACAGTGGAATTGTCTCCGGCAAGTCCCCAAGCAGCCATCGGGCCCTGCTCCGAACCTCTGCACAGTTCCACGTCCAGCGGCGGCCTCAGAGACCCTGCCACTTTCCCCAAGGATAGGGGCCACCCCCGCCCGGGATCTCGGGATTCAGGGGACAGAAAAGAAATCATACTTACGCACAGGCTCCTGCATCCGATACCAAGAGAGTCTGGGGGCGCTCCGCTGCCAGTCGTTTGTGCGCGGCTGAGGAGCAGGGTCACGGCGGCCGCGGCGGCCGCAGGAGAGGAGAGAACACGTGGGGACGGTGTTGGCAAATGGCAGACAGACCTTCAGACGCCGATTCGTTACCACACCGCGAAAGAGAGAGAAAAGAGAGGCTACCACCTGAGAATTCTCGGATCTAGTTAGAACTCATTTTAATAGTTTTTGTTTAAACTTTGCTCTCTTCCTGACGTCCGCTCCGATACCCGTCGGAATCTGTCGAAGCTCTTTCATAGACTAATTTACTTACTCCTAGGATCTTAACGGTCTTCGGGAGCTACCCTGTAAACATTCCCTGGTCCATACGAATGGTGTCATCCGTTAGATCTGGAGCTCTGCAGATCTTCAACGAGTCTCCCGGGTTTTATTCAATGATTAGGATTTACGAGGCAATGTCCTACCGTGAAAACAGCAGCATTCACGAGGGGAAATCTCCACCATTACCCACTTGTTTCAGGTCGTTGACGTGGGGTGCTGGTTTCCACCGGAAGAGCAATGGGAGCGCACCGCGGCGCACTCAGCTCTGGTTGGACGTTTTCGGAAGGAGGGGTGGGGTTTCTGCAACGCATGCGTGTTGCGGCTCGTGGGCGGGCTTAAAGGGACGTGGGTGGTGCTCGGCGGGCAACTGAAGCCGCTTGGTTGCGAGAGTCCCGGGCTTTCCGGAGGCGCCGAGGAGTGAATCTAGGGGTTCAGCGGTCGAATCTGGAGGAGTGCTGGAGCCTCTGGCTGAGAGAGCCACCACGCCTCCTTTGTGGGTGTTTTTGGTTGTTGCTTTGGCGAGCATTTCGCTTGATTAACCTTTTCTTCCTAAATCTTAACCCCGCCTCTCCAGCTGTTTGGTTTTGCATCCGTTGTAGCTTGGGGAATACAATGGCCAGTTCTCGGTTTGGGGGTACACGGTTTGGGGAGCGTCGTTGTCACTCTGGTGGACATTCTCGCGACATCTCCGTTTTCAGGTTTATTAGCATAGTGCATTAATAGACGGGGATTAATGGATAAATAAGACGTTTTAGTGGTCTCTAATCCTGCATTGTCTTAAACTGTAAGCCTCCAGTTTTGTCGACACTGTGTAGGCATCGTTTTATTTAGAAGTTGATGGATGCATGTTGCAAAATTACTTCAGAATATTGTCTAATCTTATCACACTATCCTCTTCTCTTCCTCGGATCCCCTTCCGCCATCGTCCTCAAAGGAGTGACAATTTTGTACCGAAGTCTGCAGAGCCAGAAGAAAGTTCTTCCCTTCAGAACTTTGGGATCAGTTTCATTACCAACAATATGAAAGGGTCTGAGTTGAGCCCAGACAAGAAAAAAAAGGTACAAATACCAGCGAGGAAACTTCGTGAGGTAGTTTCTTCAAATCCGGGAGACAATTTGATTTTGCTGAAAGATGATTCTACCTGTATTCCTCCAGCATTGCCTGCAAATAAACATCTTCCTGTTAAATTGGGGACTGACTTGGATGGAACATTACATGGTATGTGAAGTCCATAGATTTTCACTCAATTTTCAATTGGCAAATACTTAGGACTTGTTTTCACTTTCTTTGTGTGTGTTTGTGCTTCAAAACTTAAAATATTCCTAATGTTTAAATTCAGAGACAGAAAATATGCCGAGTTTTTACAGGTTTTTGAAACTTTACTCTTATCCCTGGGAAAGTGGCCAGGCACGGACAATCTACACTGTTGAATGGGTGGAATGAACAGAACTGTAACATTTACAAGTATGCCTTTTGTATGTGTGGTTTTTGCACACTGTTCCTGTGTCCATCTGTGTTGGATTCACGTGCTTTATTTTCACTAGTAGTGCTTTTTTTTTTCTTTTCACCTAATTCTCTTAATTTCTGTTTGGATGATGCTATCCAGAAAGACATGACAGAAAATATCCTATTTCAGTCATTTGATGGGTCCACGTTCCAAGTCACTTAACTTCTCTAGAACTCAGTGAAAAGTATAATTATAAGGGTCAAATAAATGAATATGTGTGTAAAGACTACAAAATGCATTTATCATGCCTGCTTTTGTGGGAGTGGGAGTACAGCATGGACAACCTAGTATAGGCCTGGTGTGAAACCAGGCTTTTAGCTCATTTTATTTCTGGAAAATGATACAGTATACTGTTGTTAACATTTTATACTTGTTTCCTCACTGGATTGTTACTATTGACTCTTGCTTTCTAAAATACTAACTATAAATTTCTTCATTAGGATACATTTAATTATTTTCTTAAAAAATTTTTGCAAGCAAAAGTAGTTTGTTTCGGGTCCTTTGTTAAGGTGGCATGAAGAATCATGCTTACATACACTTTTGAAAAGTCACTAAATTTAATTTCTTTGTTTTGTTAGGTTCATCAGATTTAACTTCTGCTAGAAATTATAACCAGCCTCCATTACAAAATCTCCCGTCAGAAAGTGTAAGCAAAAGAGTGCTCAATTATGTTCTTGTTAAAAATTTTCAAGTAGTATATTTTAAAATTATGTTTAATGAGCTACCGGCTGTGCTTTCCTTCAGACTTCACTTACCAAGAGAAATAATTTCTTACTGTTAGAATTGTGGCTTGAATAATGTTGGAGATATTTAAGAAGGGGGAAAAAAACTCCATACAAGTTGAAAGTATTAGTGAGAAAATGATCACTGTGGAAAAATAACTGAAAAGAAACTGATACTAAAAAAATAAAACCACAAGAAAAGAAACTGCTGCTATCTTCAGAACAACTCTCACAGCCTGTTGTTCAGACTCAGGGTGACCTTGTAGGACAGAGTTCCGCTGTCCCTGCGGTTTTTTGAGACTGTAACTATAGGAGTTGAAAACCTTGTCTTTCATGAAAAAATAATAGCAATCCATAAATTATCAAGCGTTCATGAGGGAGGGTGGGGGAGGGAGGGAACACAATGAGGAGCTGATACCAAAGGCTCAAGTAGAAAGAAAATGTTTTGAAAATTATGATGGCAACAAATGTACAAATGTGCTTGACACATGGATGCATGTATTTATTGTGATAAGAGCTGTATGAGCCCCCAATGAAATGATTAAAAAAATAGATACCAAGAAGACTACTCTCCCAAGGGGAAAAGAAAAGAAAGCCTTGTCTTTCTCCCTTTGAGCAGTTGGTGCTTTCGAACTGCTGACCTTGTTAGCAGCCCAATTAATCAATACATTACTAGAGCTCCTTCTGCTGCTATCTAGGAAAGAAGATATTCTTTTAAAAATCATTTTATGGGGAGTTATTATAGCTCTTAGAACATTCCATACATCAATCAATTGTATTAAGCATATTTGTATATATGTTGCCATCATCATTTCCAAAACATTTTCTACTTGAGCCCTTGGTATCAGCTCCTTTTTCCCCTCCCTCCCCGCCCTCCTATCCTTCTGTATCCTTGACCATTTATATAGTGTTATTGTTATTTCATATCTTACACTGTCCATTGTCTCCCTTCACCCACATTTCTGTTATTCGTCCCCTGGGGGGGGGCATATAACCAATTTTGTGATAGGCTCCCCCTTTCTCACCCCAATCATCCCCATATGGTGAGTTTGACCGATAATCATAGGGGTGACTTACACACTGCCAATTTAGCACATGTAGATAACAATCTAAAAGAGGTGCCCAATCTAATTGAAGCTCGTAATTAAGAATGTAGTTGTCTGAGACTGTCCGTTTTGTCAGAGATCACAATAAGATGCATGCCAGTCTTCCATGTGTTTGTTTTACATGATGAAGGCCTTTTCTAAAGATGTTGCAGCACAAGGGTTGCCTTTGTATAAAACAGATGCAAGCAATCGTCAGAAAGGTAAAAGGATAAAGTTGATTTTTAGACTTGTTTAAAATTGCTTGATAATTTTGTGAATTATGATTTTTCAAAGATTTAATTGGTTTTTCTTTTTTAAAAATTTATTTTTATTTTTTTATTATTATTTTTTAAATTTATTTTTAGTGGGAGTTAGTACACATATCATTCCATAGTTCAGTCACGCCAAGCAGTATTCTACAATTGCTACCACATTCAGTTTCCAAACACTTTTTTCCTTTCTGGACTCCTTGACATTGTCTCCCTTTTACACTTCAACCTCCCATCCCCCATTAGCTTCCCTCAGGCAAATTGACTTTTAGATATTCATTAAAAGCCTTATTTTTTCTTATTTTGATTTTAATTAGATTTTCCTTCCAAATGAACCTATTAATAGAATCTCTCAATCTAGAAAACCGTTTGCAGTGGCAGAGATAATGCTATTACTACGAACCAACTGTATAGGTTTTGTCTTCCATAAGATGTTGTTGGCTGTTGAGTCAGTTTCTACTGAAGAAGACCACACGTGGCAGAGTAGAACTGCCCCATAGGGATTTCTTGGCTGTAACCTTTACAAGAGCATATCGCCAGTCTTTCTCCCATGGAGCCCCTGGGTGGGGTTGAAGTGCCAGTCTTTATAAATAAGCCACCAAATGTTTGCCCATTGGGCCCCAGGGCCCTACCAGGAAACCAAACTCGCAGCAATTCCAATTCATTGTGACCCTGCAGACTGAGTAGAACTGCCCCTGTGTGTTCTCGAGGCTGTAAGTCTTGACCAGAGAAGAAAGCCTTATCTGTCTTCCTCAGAGAGCTGGTACGTTTGAACTGCTGACCTTGAGCCACAGGGCCCCTTTCTAGGGATCCTTAGATCGCCGTATATTCTAAATTCAAGATTTCAGTTCCCTTTGGTCAGATAATGGATTAAAAAGGTGCTTTCAAATGTTTTATCTTATGATAAATAGACTTAAAGTAATTGGCTATTCTTTAGTCTAAGAAAAAAATTCACAGTTAAATAGCTTTTAAAAAGAGTTATATAAATATCATCACAATCAGTTCTAATGCTCTCTGCCTCTCTTGAAATTTTTTTTCCCCTTGTACACACCTCTGTGTTTATATATTAGACACAGGCACGGGTAGGTGGCGGGGCACTGGGCTCGCCGTGGGTCCCCCTCCCCCCTCCGGCCATTCACACACAGAAGAAATATTTTTTCTTTAGATCTTAAAAGCAAGAGTGTCCAATTTAACCTTAGGTGTTATTGATAAAATTTTTTTCTCTGGGTGTATGACTATTATGCTATTAAGTCAATTTATTTCGCCCTCTTTTTATTGATAAGTTATATTACCAAGAACCTAAGTATTCTTTTAGTTTAAAAAATGTTTTTGAGTAGTTTATCAAAATTTAATAAACTTTCAGAGATCTGAAGTACACCTTGTGTCTTGATTTTGCAGCAAATGATGTCTTTATTTCTCAGTACACCATGGGCCAGAAAGATGCTCTCAGAGCTGTGTTAAAGCAAAAGTAAGTTGCATTGTTCACAGTAAAAATCTTTCCCCTGTGTGTGATCGTGAACACAATCCTACGTGGTGCTGGGCACATCTAAAGTACTGAGTATCTGTGAGCTATTATTATAGCTATTATTCTGTTCTGAGCACTGCATGCACATTAACTTAGTAATGCTCCTAAGATCCTATTAAATGGATTCTGTTGCTGCTTTTATTTTGCAGAATTTCCGTTTTATAGAGATTGAAACTAAAGCACAGATTGATTTCACCAAGATCTTTTAGCAAATAACCATTGGGCTGGGATTGAAATAGGCAGCCTGCTTTTAGCTCCTGCTCTCTTCCCTACTTCGCTACAGTGCTTGAACAGTAGCTTGAACAGTAGTAGTTAAGTAGCTCCTAGTGTGTACTACTTATAAACGTCAAAGTAAATTTAGACTCTGCTGACTAAGATCTGAGAATGGGAAAAGTTTGGTACCCAGGATGCATTTCAGTCCACCTAAATGCCCCCACCCATCATTAAATATCCTTGAAGTACAGACCCAAACCTGACAACCGCACCAGGATCAATGCATCAGGTATCAGCTCACCTGGGCTGGAAGTAACTTTGACATAGACATCTAGCGTTTGTTTTTAAAGTATGATCGAATGCCCATCATGAGCAGCAATTTTAGATTTTTGAAAGGTAGAGATGTGTGTGGATGTTTTTAAGTAAAATCTAGAAGAATGAAATAGTTGGGAAAAGGTAATAAGAAGTGCTATTCTAGTAGAGAAAGCTGTGGTGTAGTGGATCCCTGGGCACTTGTCCCTAACTCTGCTCCTTACAAGTTGTGTGATTTCAATCAAGTAAATCCTCTTACCACTGGATCTCAATTTCTTCATCTATGAAACTAGGGAATTAGAATAGGTCACCTCTGATTTTTGCTTACCTCTATAATTCCATGACATATTTTCAGAATTGTGATGAAACAATTGGCAAAACCTGATGACTCAGTTGATGTGAGAAGGCAGGCAGAGGATGGAGAAGTCAAGGATGACTTCAAAATTTGAGACCAAGAGGGAATTGGTGCCCTTCATAGAAATGGGGAAAAACCATTGAGGAGGCGTGAGTGAGGGGCTCTTCTTAGCCGCCTTCACAGATCAGAGGGGAGATCTAGCCGGTGGAGTAGGGGTACAGCCCTACCAACCTACTTGAGTGTTGTCAGTGGTTCCTTATATTGTTTTCTGTTAGGTCTACAATAGAGTAAACTTGCCTATCCCCGTTAGCCTTTAGTTGAATATCTTAATCTAAATTTGCATCTGAATATTTACTGGCCAATGTTTTAAACTCAAGCTGCTGCACGTTGTGTTTTGTGCCTGGTTGAATAACTGGCGACGTTCAGTAGGTGAATCTAAGTAAGCTAGAGTTCCGAAAAACTTATTTCAGCAGTTAAACAATTCCCTTTGGCAGTTTTAATAATTCCTCTTGGGTTTTTCACTGTGGGAGTGAAATTTGAACTTGGGTTCTTTGAGCTTTCTCTGTATGTTTTAAATTTGTTATTTCTTGATTATGTACCTTGGTAATTTTGCCCCTGTCTTTTTCACTTGAGTGGTTCTTAGTTTCTGATGTAATATTTTTGTCCTTAGGGTATTATCTTCATATTTCTTTAGTGGTTCAGACACTAGAGCATTATCAATTCAGTAAGTTGCCCTGCCCACATTGTGTGGGCCACCTGCCTTTCTTTGATGTGTTTCTTGAAGGGTGATTTAAGTTAAACAAGCAAAGCCTCACCTGCAGCAGAGTAACTTTTTTTTGGAAAGTATTTTTGGAAAAATGTCAATGTAGCTTACTGAATTTTTTGCACTGCTTTTCCCTTACAGAGTTCAACGAATGCCTGCTTTTAAGGAAGTAAAGGTACAGCTTCTGGAGGATGCAGGTGCAGAAAAGGTCACTGTTGCCCAGGAGACTAGAACTTCACCCAGTGGAATCGATTCAGCTACCACTGTGGCTGCAGCAACTGCGGCTGCCATTGCAACAGCAGCTCCGCTCATAAAAGTATATGTCATTCCTTTGTGAAATGTAAAGCCAGCTATTAACTGATTCAATAAATGGCTGCCTAACTATAAACTCTAGATACATTCTAGTTGGTCTCAATTTGAAAGAAGTTTCCTGCTTGTGATTGTATTTACATTAGGAGTTGTCAAAACCACTGTGAACAAACCAAAACCCAGTGCCATTGAGTGGATTCTGACTCACAGCGACCCGGCAGGATAGAGTAGAACTGCCTCTTTGGATTTCCCAGATGAAATCTTTACAAGAGCAGAAAGCCTCGTCTTTCTCCCTCAGAGCAGCTGCTGGATTTAAAGTGCTGACCTTGCAGTTTAAACTTAGCAGCTGACATTGCAGTTCAAACTACTGACCTTGCAGTTCAAGTAGCCCAACATGTAACCCACTTTGCCACCAGGTGCCTTGATTGTGGTGACAGTCATAGTGAACTCAGGACTTCCCAGTTTTAGCACTGAGAGCCACACATGTTGGGAAGCCCCTCAGTGCCAGGCAGCCTGGGATGGTGTCTGCCCTGTTAACAGAGCTGGAGAAGGCCGTGGAGATGATTTCTTGTGTTAACTTCTTTAGTTTGCAAATGGGGAAGCAGACAAATAGACCAGAAGAGGCACAGTGCTGACAGGTGGCACAAGCAAGACTAGATGGAACTGAAGGTGCTGACCTAACTCACCTTTAATGTTCATGATGTGTTCAAGAGCAACATTTTTTCAGGGTAGGGCTGTTAATCTTTTCAATTTCCACTTAAGTTTTGTATTTCTGGCATAAAATTCTAGATTGTAAATTCGATGAGTGTTTTGGAGGTGGGGATAGGGATGAATTATCTGTCTAATGATAACTATTTCCTTATATTTTTTATCTTAATAGTAAAGATAGTGGATCATCAAATAGAGATAAAAGTGCTAGCTTGAGAATTTCTCCATACCAACTTCATTACTAACTTTTCTAGCAATTGAGCATACGTTTGGCATTGATAGTGTTATTTTGATATTTTAATTTCAGGTGCAGAGTGATTTGGAAGCAAAAGTCAATTCTGTTACAGAATTACTTAATAAGTTGCAAGAGACTGATAAGCAATTACAACGTGTTACCGAGCAGCAAACAACCATTCAGAGTCAACAGGAGAAACTCCACTGTTACGATCATGAAAAGCAGTTGAGTGTGTTTATGGAACAGCACATGAGGCATCTTGAGAAATTACAGCAGCAGCAAATCGATATTCAGGTATCTGCGATCACATGATCATTATCACTTAAAGTGCTAAGCTAATACTCATTGGTTATTACAGTAACTCATCAGATTTTAACCATATTAGTTCTCACAGAATGATTGTCTTGTGAAACTCTCTTCCCCTCTATATGGAGAACTTTGTGTGCTAGCTTAATGTCACGAGCTCTAGCCTACTGTATGGCCCTCAGCCAGCTCTGAGGTAAAATGGAAGAAAGTAAGCTTTAGTTTATATATAACTCTTTAGAAGGGATATTAGTATAAAACCAGACCTGATGCTGACCCTAATGGCCTTTGAGGACAGAGAAGAACTGCCCCACAGGATTTGTAAGGCTGTAAATCCTTATGGAAGCAGACTGCCATACCTTTCTCCTACAGTGCAGTTGGTGAGTTCAAACCACTGACCTTTTGCTTAGCAGTTGAGTACTATTAAGTACTGCACCACGGGCACCTAGCTTCAGTGGTTAAAAAAGCAAAACTCACTGTCATCGAGTCAATTCCAACTCATAGTGACCCTATCGAGCAGAGTGGAACTGTCACTGTGGGTTTCTGAGACTATAACTCTGTGGGGGAGAAGAAAGCCTCCTCGTTGTCCAACTTGAATGGGTAAGTAGGTCACATATCAGAACCCAGCATAAGCAGGTCTTTGTGATATTGTAATCTGCTGTTTCTCAAAGTGGGTGATGCTGCTCCCCGCAGGGGACTTGGAAGATCCTGGGAGACTGCAAAAGCAGATACACTTTATACTAGATTATGAGCTATAGTACAAAAGATTTTAATTGCCGTGGGGGGAACTGAGTCTTTTTTTTTCTAGAAAGGGGGTGGTAGACCAAATAAATTTGGGAATTTATGGAGTATAATCTATCTAGTAAAATCTCTACTGTTATGAAAAGTTACAGTGCAATGTATGTTCTCATTGTTTATTAAATGTAATATATTGTTTTCATGTCCTTTAAACATTTCAACATATTTGGCCATAAACTTTCAAAATGATTTTACTTTAAATAAAAAATAATTTATGTCTTCTAGACCCATTTCATTAGTGCTGCGCTCAAGACTAGTAGTTTTCAGCCCATTGGTATGCCTCCTTCCAGACCCGTCGAGAAGTACCCGGTGAGACCAGAACAGCCGAATCTTGGCAGCAGTGATGCAGCTCCACATAGCACATTGGCTTTGACACCAGGTATACTTCTCTATATGTCACCTGTGAATTGCCTTTGTGCGAGAAAAGTTTAAAACTGTGTTTGCAAGGTGGAAGAGGAGAGGAGGCTAAGCCAAACTAACCTCACTATTATCACGTCGATGCCGACTCACAGCAACCTCTAGGACAGGGTAGAAGTGCTCTTCTGAGGGTCCAAGATTGTTTAACTGTTCACAGGAGTAGAAAGTCCCATCTTTCTCCTGCAGAGTGGCTTGTGGTTTCAAACTGCTGATCTCGAGGTCACAGCCCAATATGCCTAACCACCACGCCACCAGGGTTCCTAAGAGGACATTAAATCTTCATGGAATTAGTTCTCTTTTTTGGTCAAGTTATTCTTAGGTCATTTTGAAACTTGTTCAGTCAAATTATGGGTCATCTTTTAGCTTACAGTTTTCACTAATAATCCTCAATTAAATGATAAGATTTTATTTTGTAGCATTGATGAATTTAGAGAAAATTTAGGTATTTAGTATCAAGAATGTAATGAGTACATTTTTTAGTTTTCTGATAAACTGTATTGACTATTTTTCTTAATTCTATCAGGAGAGAAACCACCTATGTACAATTATAAACTATTTGCAAATATTTTCAAGGGTTCATACATATCTGTTGTAATAGAAATTTTAAGATCTCATATAATAAAGGAATAGGCCATTTATTTTTATCAAAGCATTGGAATTTAAAAGACATGTTTCCAAGCTATTGCTATATGAATAATGAATTTCAAGAAAATCAAGAATCTATGATTTTAACAGTACAGTGATCATGT